ACATCTTCCCTCGCCTAGTTAAATACATCTAAACTGAGCAACCTCCCTATCCTAGCACCACATGGAAACGTGCATGCATTGCCCCCCCCCCCCCCCCCCCCCCCATTTCGATGTCTCATGAGATCAATCCCCACAATGGCCCGCTCAGTTCTGGAGGAAAAAATAAAGTGTCCTTTGACTCCAAATGACTTCATAGACATCCATGTAGTTTTCTTGGCAATGAGATGAGATTTGCCTTCTGGGACAGGTTTCAACTTCCCAATTTGGGCTACAATTCTGCAATGTCCTGGTCGCCTCCAAGCAAGTCTGGCTCTACTTTTTTGAGATCAGCTGAGGTTGGCCACCTAAACCATGGTTCAATGGAGAAAAGCCAAAGGTTGAGAGTTCTCCATAGAGGGCTGCCTAACCTCCTTTTTAAGATCTCCAGAAAGGAGGATATTTCCCTTCTCTAGATCCTAATTCCATTAATGTAGTCTGAAGGCACTTCTGCACAGGGTAGGGTCCTGCTCCCTGCTCAGTGCTTTCATCATAATTGAGCTCAGCCTATTTATTTCTAGGTCAGCTACAGCTCAATGCAAATCACAAAACATCTATTTTGCAGGATACAATTTTGGAGATCCACCAGGCTTTGAGATGAGCTATTTTCTCATTGGCAGCAAGTCCCACCAATCTCTGCATTCCAACTCCTTGGCTCTTTCCATTCCCCATAGTTTGGTAATCCACCATAGCATCATTGTGGAGTCACACTGGACACTGGTAGAGTCTGGAGACAGATTCCTTCCTTCCTTCCTTCCTTCCTTCCTTCCTTCCTTCCTTCCTTCCTTCCTTCCTTCCTTCCTTCCTTTGCTTCAAGGGATGGAAATGGGGTGTCAGGGGATCCCTTTTTTTGTGCTCTCCTTCTGATAGTTGTGAAGGAATATTTATCTGTCTGTTTGTCAAGAAGTCTCTCCATCTGCAGTGTAGAGAATTTCTGTGAACATTCTCGTTCTCAAAAGTAAGCCAAAAGTAAGCTGTTACTTGATCAGCCCTTTACCAAAGCAAGGAACAGATGGAAATAGTAACTTCTGTTGAAAAGAGGATCATTTTTAGCCCTTTATTAAGGGTGGGTGGGGAAAGAAGTGCAAGAACTGAACACTGATCATTAGTGTAAATAGAGCTCACATTTGATACATAGCAGTCATTGGATTCTTTTGTAATGGCTTCATAGTTTTGCTACAATGCATTTAACTGTGTCTTTGGATTCTGGCAAATATATTCTTGCAGTATTTTGTCTTGCAAGCTGAGAGAACCTCTGTTGCCAGGGTAATTTTGAAGTTTTTACAGATAACCTGTTGGAAAATCAGCAAGCACTCATCTTGATCCACTTTCCTTGTTACATCTATATGTATTTATTTCCCATTTCTGGGATAAACTGCAGTGACAGCTGCTAAGATCACATTAGTGTATGTAATGTTTTCTTTTTGTTTTGTAATAATTAGAGGATACCCAGAAGTGATGCAGGGGAGACTTAGTGAAAGGAGGAAGCCAAGTAGGCATCTGCTTTTTACTGGCTGCACTTCAACAGAGAAATAAGGAGAACATATGAACATGGCTAGCAGTACTTCAGAGGGACATATCTCTCTGAATAAAAATAGATCTTTGGAACTGACTCACTCTAGAATAACAACCTCCAGGAAATCTCTAACAACACAGTAAGAACTCTGGAATTTCCTTATACCTTTAATAATACCTTTATAATCTATACCCTTAATAATCTCCAACCACTCCTTTACTGCCATTTGTGTTGGCTTTCCATGCAGATGTGAGTCCAAATGTAACTCTTGTTTTAGGCTGTCAGCTTACTGAAAAGGGAAAAGTTTTCTGTTATTTTTTTAAAAACCTTGTTAGTGTTTGGATAGGAGGTGATAGGAGAGGCACAACCCCAATCTTGTAATATGCACCAACTGTATAATTCAATTCTGTGTCTCTGGTCCTCAGGATGTCCTCTCTCAGTACCGAATGGTCAGATCTGCCAGGGACCTTTGATACTTTAGATATGAGGGATATTTGCCCTCCTTAAATCTCATGAGTCCTTTCCTGGCCTTGCATAGGAAAAGACACCTCTTCTTGAAAGAATTGCCAATGACTGCAGCATTCTTCCACATATGCTTCACACCACCTTTTCCCCTTTGAATCTGGATCACCATCTAGCTCTGACATAAAGCCTGTCCATCCATCTGAGTCACTGGTGGGGATCCTCCTTCTGAATTGCACTCTCAGCATACCTCAAGGTCCCATGGTTGCAGAAATCTAAAGTGAACTGAACTGGAGTAAATTAATTAAAGAAAACCAGATTTCAAAAGTTTGTCTCCTATGAGGAGAATTGAATGCCTATGAGTTTTCTAATGCTATATGTCAGTTTCTCAGAACAATTGTATTGTTATAAGCTACCTTAGGAATGGCTTTGCTCTAAAAGTTTGATTTCTGTATATCAGATCAAAAAAGCATAAATAATTGAGTTTATCCAAACCTTTATTTCATTTCTCTATATTGATACCTTGGAAGCTGAGGTTGACTCTGAGAGGGAACTGTCCATGGTGAAACTTAGATGATCCGAGGTTGAGGCAAACATCTTTTCTTCTCCTTTTCTGTCTTGTTAATATCAGTTTCTGCCTGTCCAGTCTTTAGTATGAATCTCAACCGTTCCAGATTAGTTTTATGACATCAGTGGTACATCAGCGAATCATCTTCAGTCCTTATTTGAAAAAGGCATGCGTCTTAGAATTTGACAGTTGTGTCAGGAACCAAGTGGAAACTTCCAGGGTTAAAAAAAAATTACAGATCCTATTTCCGGGGGGGGGGGGGATGGCTTTTCCTCTTTTATGTCATCTCACCATGCTATTTGCTCAATTCAGTACAATTGTCTATGGTAATGGCATTACCAAATAACCCTCTGAGCTATTGTTTCTAATTCTTTGTCTGAAAATTGGAAACAATACAAGGAACCTAAATAAGGATTTCAAATTTATTTCTATTCTTTTGTGATATGTCAGTGTTGGCTAAGATGATGGAACTATTGAGGAATGCTGTTCCACCTTAATATTTGTACAAAAACAAAAACCCATTAATTATAAGAAAAGATTGTAAGTTTCCTATGTCCTTTCCTCCAAGAAAACCCAGAAAGCATTACCATTTTAACTTTACACTGTTCAGAGGAATGGTACCATATAACAATATTCAAAATTCTTGCTTCTGTTGTCAAATTACAACTGAAAGCAAAGCAAACATCCATTGCAGAAGATTTTAAACACAACCTGCTCCAAATCTTTGAAAAAAGCTATCTTTAGGCTATTGTCCTTTCTACATAGGAGGCAGTAGTTTCTTCTGCTATGAATAGCTGAACACAAATTTGTGGTTGCCTGGAACAGCAAAAAATGTCTTCCTGTTTAAGCAATACATGTCAAAAATTGTTGTACGTCTCATTCTTTATATGATCAATAGAATATAAAAAATTTGGTTCAAATAACTTTTTATAAAAACTCTTTAATTGGTTCCTGCATTCATTAGTTTTAGATCACATCTTTCCTATAGAATGGAGGATCACAATATTTTGAGTATTTTAAGAAATGGCTGCAAACTAATTTTTCCTTCTCCTTTTCCTTCTCCTGTGGAGTAAAGTAGTTATGTACCGATTGGTGTCTCCAAGAGCAATTATATTGCCAAAGTATCTGCTCTTCGCTCTGAAATTTTTCCCACCATTCCAGAATATGACGCCTTGGTAGCAACAAAGGAAGAGGATTTGGATGAAGTTGAAAAAATACTACATGAAGTAATAGGAAACAATGAATCAATAGAGGAGATTCTGGTCCCAGTGCAGATCACAGACCGAATTTTTTTCGTTGATTTGGCCAACAGGAAATTGAAAACCATCCCGTGGCAAGTGTTTGATCTGGAAGAACTAGAGGAGCTGCATCTGGAAAGAAATGAAATTTGTAGCATCCCAAGAATGATCAATAATCTTAAAAATATACGGATTCTTTATCTGAATAAGAATAGGATAAAAGAGTTATGTGAGGAACTTGGAGAACTGAAATGTCTTCAAAGCCTGGATCTGAGCTGTAATCCACTTCCTTACAATTCACTTACAGTCATCAGTAAAATAAGGTCCCTTTCTCATCTCAGGTTCTATGATTTAAATCTGGATGAATTTCCCCTGGAAATCTGCAAACACCTTCATTACTTGAAGCTGCTGGGACTCTCTAATAATAATCTAAAATGCCTTCCCAAGGAAATAGTTAATTTAACCAAACTTGAAGAGATCTATTTAAAGGAGAACAGATTCGAACATTTTCCCTTGGAACTTTGTCAACTGCATAATCTAGAAATTATAGATCTCGAGAAAAATAATCTGAGTGTCATTCCGGATGAAATTTCCTCCTTGCAAAATTTATCTCAGTTTTTTCTTGCCTGCAACAAGCTGACAGCTGTGCCTGATTCACTAAGCAAGTGTTGGAAACTCTCTGTGCTTGATTTGTCAAAGAATCAATTGCACAAACTTCCTCGAAGTTTAAAGGAATTGACAGAAATGAAGGAATTTGGGTTATCAGGGAATGCCCTGACTAGTTTTCCACGCCAGATACGGCGCTGGAAATGCCTTATTGTGGTTTATCTGAAGAACTGTGCCCTGCAAATGATACACCCTTCTTTTGGAAGACTAACCAATATAATGATTTTAGATCTAAGTGAAAATCTTCTGGAGGAACTTCCCAGGCAGATTTGTGCAATGGAAAATCTGGAGGTATTGTCCCTGGATGACAATCAGATAAGTGAGGTATTTATCCATCATATTGCTATCCCACTTCTCCCAGTCAGACCAGCTGACAGGGTAAATCAAAATTCAGTTAAGACATCCCTAAATACTTTTAAAAAGGACCAATAGTTACAGAATGTTACCAGATTCATATCTTTTAAAACCATTGGTATATTTTTGGTGGTGTGCCTAAAAGTATAAAAGACGCATACAGATAGAAGTGTAGAATCTTACTGGCTAGGGTCATTTCTCAAATTTTAAATTGTTAAACACAAAATAAACATTTGGAAAATACAGGGACTACTCAGCTAAACCAACAATTACATACACACACACACACACACAGACACACACACACACACAAACTTTCATCTTTAAGAACATGGGGGCTTATGCTTTTTGGCAAATAAAATAAGAATGATTGTGTGTGCTTTCCCATCCCCTCAGTTTTAAAAGGACTTTTGTAACAACATTTTGTATTAAAAAGTGTAATCCAAAATTAACTCTTTATTTACCACTCAAGATGGGAGCTAAGGTGGCAACAGTTAGTGGCCACGGCCTGCTTGCCAGCTCGGCTGTCTCTCCCCACGTGGCCTGAGGAAATAAGCAGACTTGAACCAATAAATGTGGGGAACCACATGTGCAGGTTGTGGTCAAAAAAGTCAAGATCGCTTCACCTGTTTTTATGTGTGTTGCAACATGCAACACACAAAAAATGGGTGGAGTGTTCACTGCACCATTGTGGCTGCCCAACTTGGCTTTTTGGACCATACCCTGCAGATACCCTGAGCCTGTGGCAGACCACCCTGGTGGACTTCCATGAAGCGTGTTTTTAGAGTCCCTGCTCTAGATCTTTCACTCCATCCGGATGCCTTCCAGATGTATTATGGCAACAAATCTCATAATTGCCAGCCAGTTGAAAATTGTGGGAGTTGAGATCCCAATATATCTTCAGGGCTTCCGGTTGGTGACTTGATTCACATTTCCAGGCAGAGGAAAATATCCTTGGGTCTTCTAAAAGGACATTTGTTATTATTATATTTCAGCTGGAGTTGTGATATTTTGTTGTTAAGGTGCCAAAAGACTCACCAGGCATTAAGTACTTGGTGGGGGGGATTTAAAGAGGGGGAACAGAATAAAGTTTTAGGATCTTGAAGAATTCCACCCTGTGTTACACTTTATAGCAGTCTCCAGGAGCATCTGCCAGCAGAAGTTTCAAAAAAGTCAAGAGGGGGACCATGATCATGTGGTCACAGCTGCCACCTTGACCTTTCTGACCCCCCCTGCAGATGTCTTGGCAGTTTCCTTCTTTTAAAAGATACTGTTATATGAAAGGGTACTTAATGATCAATGGCACTGCTTCATGTAGAGAACTTTTAGTACCCATTTAAAATTTACAAACTGAATAACATGTATTTTCTCAAATCTGTGTTTTCAAAACAACAAGATACATCCAGATGTATATAAGCTTTGCCAGCTAAAAAGCCTTGGTCTAACCAGCAACAGGTTCGTCTCGTTCCCTGAGCAAATATTCCAAATTGTATCACTAGAGAATCTGTACATGGGACAAGATAAAGGGACCAAATTAACAGATTTACCAGAGAACATTAGCAAATTGCAGGTAAGAAAAAGTACAAACCATACAAATTGAAGTGAAGACATCTAGAAAATTGTTCATTTAGAGAGTGTTTCTCAATGTCAGCAACTTTAAGAAGTGTGGACTTCAACATGCTGGCTGGGGAATTCTGGGAGTTGAAGTCCACACATCTTAAAGTTGCTGACATTGAGAAACATGGATTTAGACTTTATTGCTTCTTGGCCTTTTGGCTAAGATCAAGAGTGTGTAGTTTCATCCCAGTTCTTCCCCATTCCTTAGGTTATTGTTCACTGCTTTAATAAGAAAAAGAAAAGAAAAGATACATATGCATACTTACCTTTTATTCATCTTGCGCAAAAAGAGAAAATATACTGGTGATGTCGTTGAAGCTAGGCGGTCAGCAGATTTTCACTATTCAAAGTGAACCACATTCTTTTTTTCTTTTTCTTTTTTACAAAGCCTACCCTGGTAAAGTTACAGGACCCTTCAGCTGCAAGTGCTGTGCAGAACTGAGACTGGCATCATACTGTACAGGGGATACAGGAGGTTCTGCAGGTCCTCACAAAATGCTGACATTGAGAAAATGCTGCCAAAATGCTTCTATAGCATTTACCCTGGAGATGTGGGATAAAAATAGTGATTGATGGGATTCTGGGGTCATCCCAACTCCTGGAATTTCCCACCTTCTTTTAGAAGGTGCCATGATACCTTGGTGCTGTTTCCCCATCCTCCCTGACTGAGCTGAGGGTTGGTTTGTACTCCCGCACAAGTTGATCCTTGTGCTTTATCTCCTCACTGCAGAACCAAAACAGCAAGGCAACAACCTGGTAGGAATCAGAGTGCCAGCTGGTGGTGCTACTTTTCTGCTCTACCGTTGGCTTTCTAGGGAGAGGGAAGGGGAGCTGGCTAACTTGAGAGGCTGCTTGGCAGGTAGACTAAGGATACTTTGGGGCAAGAGAATGGAGATTGCAAGGATTCGGGAGACAAACATCTTCAGGAAGTGCCTGAAGATTCAATCTCACCTTTTTAAAAATTTTCTTTTAAAATTATATGTGGCTTCACATTAAATTTTTCTGAAGATTACTTGAGTTTCTGGATAATGCAATAGCCACATCTGGCCAAATGGACATGTGTATTTTCCCCCCAGAATTTAAAAGAACTGTACATTGAGAACAACTTCTTGGAGTATCTTCCATCAAGCATAGGTTTATTGAATAACCTGGAAATACTTGATACTCATAACAACTTTCTTATAGAACTGCCTGACTCCACATGCCAACTACAAGGTAAAAAGAAAAAGAAAAAGACATATACAAAGAATTCTTTGCCTTCTTAGCCAACTTAGCTCACCAAGCCATTTCATTTTTTTCTGATTTTGTCTTTAGGTTTGAAAAAGTTATTAGTCCATAACAACCAATTATTTCAAATCCCAGAGAACTTGGACAGCCTAGAAAAACTACAAGTTATGTCACTGGAAGGGAACCCTATGATGGCCCCACCTGTGGAAGTGTTTAGTCAAGGGTTGCCGGCCATATGGGAATATTTACGACAGGCAAGAGAAAAAAAAGATAAGACCATAAAGGTATGAAGTTGGGAAAAGGAGGACAGTCAGAAACATACAGGAGAACAGGTTAAACTGATGAAACAGTTATCTTAAACTGTTGGAGCAACATGGCCTGATTTGGATCAATGGTATCTTTCCTGGAAAAAATGCTATGATCCTTAGTTCTTATGATCAAACTACATCTTACATTCATAATAATTTAAAAGCATGATTATGTTTAAATAATTATACGTAATGGCATGTGGAGATGACCTTGGGAGATAGGAGGAAGAGCTGCAGAGTAGGCAACGGTCAGATAAGAGGCAGCTTAG